ACATGTTCTAAAAGGCTTGATGGAAAATCAAAAGAGCACAAATGTATGTGCCGGAAAGTGTCAGCTCAAAACTCTAAGTCCCCCAACCAACTGACTGAGTCATCTCTTCACCAAGGAGACCCCAGAATAACCTTAAAAGCAGTCATTGGCCATATAACTCAGTTTATGTAGTTAAAGGATGGGGGATCACATGCCCCTCGTTATCTGCCCCCCCCCACTAACCACCATGAGGTTTTCTTTCCTAAAGGCTAAACAGAAACTGGCCTCTTCAAAAGACCCCACACTGATATTGACCAGCGCATGAGGCTGCCCTCCTTTTTCCCTGACAACAGACCAACAACCACCGCGTGGTTCTGGACCGTCTATAGAGGGTGCACAGTGACGATTTTTGTGTCTTCTGTTTCAGCTTTTAACATCAGAGGGCCAAAAACACCACCCTTGGATCATGCTAACAAGGTCATTTTTTGAACATCGGTCCCATGAAGAGCAAAAATTTCAATTGTGCACGTGCATGGTTCTCCTTCAAAAATATTCATGGCTGGGCACATCCTATACTCTCAGTGCTTTGGGAAGCCAAAACAGGAGGATCACTTGAGCCCAGGAGCTCGAGACCACCCTGGGCAACACAGGGAGATCCCATCTCTACAAAAAAAAATTTAGAAAATTACACAGGCTTGGTGGCACATACCTGTGGTCCCAGCCTTTTAGGAGGCTGAGCTAGGAGGATCACTTGGGCCCAAGAGGTCAAGACTGCAGTGAGCCAGTGATCATGCCACTGCACTCCAGCCTGGGGGACAGAATGAAACCCTGTCTCAAAAAGAGTAACTAATTAATTATTTTAAAAATTCATGACCCTTCCTATAGCTTATTGAATCTGTGTATTTGGCCACACTATTCAGCACAGATCCCTGTATTATTCTGCCCACACTAGGGTCTGTTTCCAGCTTCTGGCCAGAGATTACACTTCCCAGCCTGTCAGAATGGCCACCTTGCAGGCTCCAACGCTTTATGAGAAATAAACCTCTCTTCTTCCAAATTTATGGACCTCATCATTCTTCATTTGACAAAAAAAAATGTTGAGATGAATTGCAAACAAAGACAAAATATCTTTTGGGCCAAGTGCAGTGGCTCCCACCTGTAATCCTAGCACTTTGGGAGGTTGAGACAAGAGACCAGCCTAGGCAACATGTCTCTCTCTCTTTTTATTTTTTATTTTTTCCACAGGAGGGAAAAGAGCCCATTAATTCTGCATGGAGACATGACAGAATTTACAAATCTATCAGATCTGTCACTTACCCATAACTTTAAAAGAACAGCAGGCCGGACGTGGTGGCTCATGCCTGTAATCCCAGCACTTTGGGAGGCTGAGGCAGGCAGATAACAGGCACATGCCACCACGCCTGGCTCTGACCAACGTGGTGAAACCCCATGTCTACTAAAAATACAAAATTAGCCAGGAGTGGAGGCATGTGCCTGTGATCTCAGCTATTCAGGAGGCTGAGGCAGGAGATTCACTTGAACCCAGGAGGTGGAGGTTGAAATGGCCTGAGATTTGTGCCAGCACAAAACATCGCAACAACAAAAAAAGAGACAGTCAAAAAAAAAAAAAAAAAGAACTGCAAAATGGCTCAAGTACAATGAACGGAGCTGGAATCAGACAGCCCAAAGAGTGTGCTATAGACATGGGTACCTTCCCACTGAGGCACAAAATTTCTTTGACACATTATGAGGTCCTTTATTGTCAGTAAGAAGGTTTCCTTTTCGTCCTGTGCTGGGGCAGGACTGTGTCTGAAACACATGACAGGATCCTCATTACACACATGTCAATAAAGACTTTTCTGTGTCACGGCAGATGTGTTTGGGCCACCATCCGGCAATCCCCAGGTCAGTTCTGTGCTCTCCAATGGTGAGATTGCTCTTCCTAGCTCTGGGGACTGCCCTGCAGGACACCCTGGTAGCCATGTTCTTCAGCAGTGCCCACACTGGCCACCAGCACAAATGCATAATTCCCCAGAGACACTCCTGCAAGGTGCTACATATGTGTGACTGACTTACATGTGATGGTACACACAGCACAGGAGCATATGGAATTGGAATTTGCAGATCAAATACTCAACAGTGATTCCCATGGGCTCTGATGTGTAATTTTCTAGGGGGATTTGCTTTTGTGAGGCAGCGCTGGAAAGGCCACAAGAGTCACTCTGTAGGGGTGAAGAAGCCTCACTCTACCACACACAAGCACGTCCCTCGGGAAAATTACACGTTCAAAACCCACATGGATCACTGATGAGTGGGTTTCTTTTCTTTTTTTTTTTTCTTTCTTTTTTGAGACAAAGTCTCTCTCTGTTGCCCAGGCTGGATTGCAATGCCACAATCTCAGGTCACTCAAGTTGAAATCAAAAATCGCAGTGCAGTGTCTTCATCTTGCTTTCTTAAAATGTCTTTTTTTTTTTTTTTAATTGAGACGGAGTCTTGCTCTGTTGCCCAGGCAGGAGTGCAGTGGTGTGATCTTGGCTCACTGCAACCTCTGCCTCACTGGTTCAAGCAATTCTCCCTGCCACAGCTTCCTGAACAGCTGGGATTAAAGTTGCCCACCACTACGTCCAGCTAATTTTTGTCTTTTAGTAGAGAGGGGGTTCCACCATGTTGGCCAGGTTGGTCTCAAACTCCTGACCTCAGGTGATCCATCCGCCTTGGCCTCCCAAAGGCTGGGATTACAGGTGTGAGCCACAGCACCCAGCCTTACTGTTGAGTGTTTGATCTGCAGGTTCCAAGGATCTGCTCCTCTCCTGCGCATACCTTCGTGAGGCATTCCTTTACTCCATATACACTTGCACTTCTTGACTTCTTTTTTGAACCAGTTATAACATCTGCCTATTTCTCTCTTTAATGAATAAAATAAAATATGTACCACTTTTATATCTGTATAAAAGTCATGATTTCATCTTTTGCTGAAATCTATCTTTTAACACTGTAATCAAACATTCCCTTCCTGGCATTGGCAGTCAGAGAAGTAAGAGACAGGTGGTAAAGTGTGGTGGAGTGTGGTTTTCCTGATTTCATGCCCTAAGGATTTAAATAACTCACAAGTCAGACTTCCAGGCACAACGCAGTTCTCCAACAGAAATAGAGAAAACAGATTTTGACAAGCAAAAGGGGCTGCTATAGTTGGGATTACAGGATCATAACAAGCAGGGAAGTCTAGGAACACATTCCTGGAAGCTTTAGAAATTTAGAAATGGGGCCGGGTGCTGTGGCTCACACCTATAATCCCAGCACTTTGGGAGGCAGAGGTGGGTGGATGACGAGGTCAGGAGTTCAAGACCAGCCTGGCCAACATAGTGAAACCCCATCTCTACGAAAAATACAAAAAATTAGCCGGGCATGGTGGTGCATGCCTATAATCCCAGCTACTCAGGAGTCTGAGGCAGGAGAATCGCCTGAACCGGGTAGAGGAGGTTGCAGTGAGCTGAGATCGCACCACTGCACTCCAGCTTGGGCGACTGAGGGAGACTTGTCTCAAAAAAAAAATGAAAATTCAGAAATGGAAGCCAAGTGGAAGCTCATCCAGGGTTCAGGGTTACAGAGGACCCCAAGATAACACAGGATGGTGGTGTCTAACGGAAAAGGCATTAGGCTTTTCCTTTGCTGGTTAAACACTGTAGGAACTTGCATAACTGATTTTCAGTCTTGCTGCAGGGAAGGCAGGGCCAGTACTTATCCTTAGATGATTCTACAAACATCAAACGTCTCCAAAGCTTTATTTTTCAGCAGCCACGCTTGTATTTTCCAAGTGTCTCTGGCTGAGACAGCATGAATTAGGAAGCGACCTGAATGAGCACACACTGGCCTCCGCAGACAGGCCAACCACCGCCCTGTGTTCTGCTTTTTCCCTGGCTGTTCCCAGGCCTGGATAGGATTCCCTGGACACCGGCGGGGCTCCCTTCTAACCACTTTATTTGAAATGGGCTTTGAAAACAACAGGTGGCATCTTCCATCAGCGAGTGGACATAAATCTCAGTGCCCAGTGTTTCCAAGGCCTGCCGGCCCACATGGCTGTGGTGTAAACTGTCCAGTCGTTCTTGGCAACACCTACCCAGCATCTAGGATGTCCCACCCTTAGACCCACAGACCCAGCCCCTCCCTTCTTAATACCCACCGTAGGGAGAAGCTGTAGAATGTGGATACTGATTTCAATGCGAATATGCTCGGTTTTTTCATAGTTTTATATTAGTAAAAGTCTACAACCAGAATGTCTCACTGTAGGAAGACAGTTACAAGGAGCACTAACGGCATGGAGGAAAGGCTCCTCCGTGCTAAATGGCCAAAGCCAGTGCCAGTTTGCATACGGCGTGATTGGCACTATGTCTTTAAATGGATGGCGAAACGCCGACAGGAAAACGCCGAAGTGTAAAGGGCGGCTGCTGGGGACGCGTGGGACCGTGCAAGGGCAGCGTATCGCTTTTAGGAAAGTCAGCTTCTGAGAACGGAGGGCGCGAAGTTCCTCGCCCGTGCAGGAGGCAAAGCACTTCTTTGCCATAGTCGGAACCCACGCGCGAGTTCAAGGGAGCGGGGCCCGGGCTGGGTGCCCCGGGGAGGCGCACGTACCTTGTCCCGCGGCCTGAGGCTGCGCTGCCCCGCGCGGAGGGAGGCCGAGCCCGGAGGAGGCGCGCGGCGCCGGGCAGGGGCGCCAGGGGACGTGGACGCGGCGGCCGAGGGCGCGGGGATCCCGGCGGGGCCAGTGGCTCCACTCGCAGTCGTAGCCTCCAGGGACTGCCGGAGCCCGTAGGGGGCGGAGAGGAGGAGGGAGGCCCCGGGCGAAGAGAGGTCTGCGAAGTGGGGGAAGGGAAGGCCAGGAGGGGGGGAGGCGCAGTGGGGAGGGGAGGAGAGAAGGGAGGGAGGGAAGTGTGAGGGGAGGGGAAGAAGTGGGGTGATCAGAGGGTGGGGGAGGGAGGAAGGGGGAGGAAAAGGGAGGGAGAGGTGGGAGAGGCTCCAAGGTAAAGAAGTGTGCAGGGAGGGGGAGTGGGAGGGAGGGAGCCGCAGAGGGGAGGGAAGAAGAGAATCAGAACGCAGGGGGGCCAGGAAAAGGAGCACAGCCAAGCCAGCCTTCTGTGAGATTTACAGGCGTGCCTGGCTTCCAAGACAAGTAACTTACTTTGTAAATAAAAATTAAGCTATTTTTTGTGTATTTTATTTTATTTTAGAAATAGGGTCTTATTCTGTCACCCAGGCTGGAGTGCAGTGCCACAATCATCAATCACTTCAGCCTCAAATTCCTGGCTTCAAGCGATCCTCCCCCCTCAGCCTCCCAAAGTGCTGGGGTTACAGGTGTGAGCCACCAAGCCCAGCCCCAATTTTCTTTTCTTTTTTTTAAGATGGAGTCTCACTCTGTCACCCAGGCTGGAGTGCAGTGGCACGATCTTAACCTCACTGCAACCTCCGCCTCCAGATTCAAGTGATTCTCCTGCCTCAATCTCCCCAGCAGCTGGGATTACAGGCACATGCCACCACCCCCGGCTAATTTTTATATTTTCAGTAGAGACGGAGTTTTGCCATGTTGGCCAGGCTTGTCTTGAAATCCTGACCTTAAATGTTCTACCTGCTTCGGCCTCCCAAAGTGCTTGGATTACAGGCGTGAGCCACCACGCCCAGCCCAGCTCCAAATTAAGCTTTCTCAAAACAGAAATTAATACACGTTTCATACTTGCCTCCTCCTTCGTGTTTTGTCTGGTCGTCTGGCCAAGGTTATGATAACAGCTTCAACTTGGCTACAGAAGCACACGCCCGTGGCTCAGCCAAACTGGAAACATACAGGCAAAGGGAATTCTAGGAATATAGCTCATCCTGGACAAACGGGCGCATTACTTGGTGCCCTCTCCTCTGCAAAGGTGTTGTTATGGACTGAATGTCTGTGTCCCCTCCCAAATTTGTATGTTGAAATCCTAACCCCTAGTATGGTGGTATTTGGAGGTGGGGCCTTTGGGAGATGCTTAGGTCATAAGGGTGGAGTCCCCAAGAATGAGATTTGTGCCATTACAAAAAGCGACAAGGGAGCTTGCTTCCTCCTCTGTATGCCAGGAAGATGACACTCACCGAGAACCCAATCCTGCTGGCACCCCAATCTCAGACTTCCAACTTCCAGAACTATGAGAAATAAAGGTTGTTTAAGCTACGCAAGTCTACCTATGGTGTTTTTTTTGTTTTGTTTTCTTTTGTTATTTGAGACAGTCTTGCTCTGTTGCCCAGCCTCTGTTACAGTGGCGCAATCTTGACTCACTGCAACCTCCGCCTCCGGGTTTAAGCAGTTCTCCTGCCTCAGCCTCCCAAGTAGCTGGGATTACAGGCATGTGTCACCATGCCTGGCTACTTTTTGTATTTTTAGTAGAGACGGGGTTTCACCATGTTGACCAGGCTGGTCTTAAAACTCCTGACCTCAGGTGAGCCTCCCGCCTCAGCCTCCCAGAGTGCTGGGATTACAGGTGTGAGCCACCGCGCCCAGCCTGCTGTTTTTGCTATAGCAGCCCAAACGAACTAAAGCAGGGTTTCCTGCTAGCCATACACTAATTTTCTTTCAAACAGGATCTTTCAAAATCCAGTCTGAAGCATCTGCAGTTGAATTATTTTACGAGCTTGAAATGTCTCTAAAATAATGGGTAGGGATTTTTTAAACACCAGAATAATTAAAAGAAGTTACCAAAGTGTTATTACCCAGAACAAATTAAGAGTAAGTCCCACAGAAAAAAAAATCGAGACAGGATCTCACTCTGTCACCCAGACTGGAGGGCAGTGGCACAATCATGGCTTACTGCAGCCTCTACCTCCCTGGGCTCAGGTGATCCTCCCACCTCAGCCTCCTAAGTAGCTGGAACTATAGGCAAGTGCCACCACACCCAGTTATGTTTTTTTGTTTGTTTGTTTGTTTTTAGAGATGGGCTTTCGTCATGTTGCCCAGGCTGCAGAAAAATTCTTCTTTCCATCCTACAATGCACAAACTGCTTGTGACATCCAAAAGGGCAATTTTTCAACTTCACCAATTTTAGTGCCAAGTTCCACAGAACATTCATCACATAAAAGTGAATATTTAACCTAGGCTTTTTAAAAAAATTCAGTTTCCTTCTTATAGAAACGCTCAGTGGAAACGAACACTAAGATTTCATGGAGTTCCCTATACATTAAAGGGCTATGACTTAGTGTTTCTGCTCGTTACCCCTCCAAAGTTAGTTTTATTTTTCATTGTTAAATAAGTAAGTAAATTCCGAGGACAGAATGAGTCCAAGCTGAATTAACAAACGAGGCAAGGTCAAAGTTAAACAAAATTGCTGACTCTGCTCAAATCCTTGTGATTTACACTGACCTTGAAGGCAAGGTCAGGAAAAGTATTCCATGGATTTGTTCCTCTAAAGACACTTGAAACAAAATCAGAACAAGTGCTGCTGTGTTTCAGAACGTCTCAAAATAATACCTGAGGGCAAACATATTCTGTTATCTGTTACCATTTCCTGGCCGTGTGGCTGACTCAGCCTCCAGCCCTCCTCTCCTCAGTGGAGCTGCAGGGAGCCTGCTGGGAAAGCGCTGAATCCTGTGCACAGGGCAGGCACTGCTGGTGAAGACAGGTGAGAGGCTGGGTAGCTGATTTCTAGAAGGTTCTTGAGCAGCAGTCGGCCATCTTGTCATCCCCAGGTAGAAAGCTTAAATTTGCTTTTTTCTTTCTTTCTTTCTTTCTTTCTTTCTTTCTTTCTTTCTTTCTTTTGTTTACTTTGTATTAATGGAAATGTACAAATATATAGAAAGGTAGAAAAAGAATACAATTAATTCCCATCTACCCCAGGCCTAAATATAATTATCTTTAATATTTTGCTAAACTTGCTTCATCAATATTTTTTTGGAAGCATAGAAATTATAGACAACCTGACATTTCACCCCCTAATAATTTTGTAGTAGTCAGCCTCCAAGATGACCCATAATGTGCCCTGCCTCTGAGAATTCACAACCCTGCAGAAAACAGACTTAGTGATGGTGTGTTAGTCCACTTTCATGCTGCGGATAAAGATATACCAGAGACTGGGTAATTTACAAAAGAAAGAGGTTTAATGGATTTACAGTTCCACATGGCTGGGGAAGCCTCATAAGCATGTTGGAAGGCAAGGAGGAGCAAGTGACATCTTACGCGGATGGCAGCAGGAAAAGCGAGCCTGTGCGGGGAAACTCCTTCCTGTAATACCATTAGGTCTCATGAGACTTATTCACTGTCACGAGAACAGCCAGGAAAGAACTGCCCCCAGGCTGGGTGCCATGGCTCACACCTGTAATCCCAGAACTTTGGGAGGCCGAGGCAGGTGGATCACCTGAGGTCAGGACTTTGAGACCAGCCTGGCCAACATGGTACTAAAATGCAAAATACACCATGTACTAAAAATACAAAAAAATAGCTGGACATGGTGGTGGGCGCCTATAATCCCAGCTACTCAGGAGGCTGAGGCAGGAAATCACTTGAACCCAGGAGGAGGAGATTGCAGTGAGCTGAGATCACTCCACTGCACTCCAGCCTGGGCAACAAGAGTGGAACTCCACTGCCCACATAATTCAATTACCTCCCACCAGCTACCCCCACAACACATGGGAATTCAAGATGAGATTTGGGTGGGGACACAGCCAAACCATATCAGATGTTATGTCTCCTCCAACATTAGATTAGAGGAGACTCTGGGACTTCCCCTTCTCTCTTCTCTGTCTCTCTCTCTCTCTCTCTCTCTCTCTCTCTCTCTCTGTGTGTGTGTGTGTGTGTGTGTGTGTCTGTGTGTATGTATGTGTCTGTGTGTGTATGTGTGTGTCTGTGTGTGTGTATATCTAGCTTTCTCTCTGATCACATGCTCTAGGGAAGTCAGCTGCCAACCATGGCTTGAGTAGCCTCTTGGAGTAAAGAAATCTGTGACCCACAGCCATGTTTCTGGGCCATCCCGGACAAGAATCCTCCAGCCCCAGCCAAGTATCAGATACTATAACCCCAACACTTTGAGGTGCCAAAGCAGGAGGATCACTTGAGCCCATGAGTTTAAGACCAGCCTGGTCAAGGTAGTGAGACTCTGCCTCCACAAAAAGGTGAAAAAAATTAGCTGGGTGTGGCAGTGCATGCCTGTAGTCCCAACTACTTAGGACTAAGTGGGAGGATTGCTTGAACAAAGGAGTTCAAGAGCAATAGTCTGACTCTGGTGCTCAAGAGGAAGTACAGTGGCACAATCCTGGTTCATTGCAGCCTCAACCTCCCAGGCTCCCGAGTAGCTGGGAATACAGGTGCAAGCCACTGTGCCCAGCTATTTTTTAAATTTCCTTATTGAGAGGGGGTTTCATCACGTTGCTCAGGCTGGTCTTGAACTTCTGGGCTCAAGCTATCCGCCTGCCTTGGCCTCTCAAAGTGTTGGGACTACAGCACCTGGGGCCAGACACTTTTATATGAGCAGATCTTATGTGAACTTACAGCAAGATCTCACTTATCACCAACAGAATGACTCAAGCCATCCATGAGCTTCAGTGTTTGAATCACTCTCATGATCCAAACTCTTCTCTCACACCAGGCCCCACCTGGAACATTGAGGATTATATTTCAACCTGAGATTTGGGTGGGGACAAATATCCAAACTATATTAGCAAATTATGCTACAATTAAGAAATGGCAGGCCGGGCGCGGTGGCTCACGCCTGTAATCCCAGCACTTTGGGAGGCCGAGGCGGGTGGATCACGAGGTCAAGAGATCGAGACCATCCTGGTTAAAATGGTGAAACCCCGTCTCTACTAAAAATATAAAAAATTAGCTGGGCATGGTGGCGCATGCCTGTAATCCCAGCTACTCAGGAGGCTGAGGCAGGAGAATTGCCTGAACCCGGGAGGCGGAGGTTGCGGTGAGCCGAGATCGCGCCATTGCACTCCAGC